CGTTAATATTGCCATTAAAACTAAAAGATACTTCCGATCAAATGAATACATTCACTGTTCGTTAGGACTCAATAGTGTTTTAATTTCGAAGAAATATGATTACTTTGCCTTGAATGTAGTAAGCAAATTTAATGTGCAGATTACTGGTGACAGGACATCTTTGACTCCGCACGGGTAGGTACCACCACCCTGCCTATTTCTGCCGTCCGTTGCGTTTCGGTGTTTGAAGAGTGGAACAACCGCTGTATTGTAAAAATTGAGGCCTTGAGAAGTGAGGTGAGAAGTCAGGTCTCAAGAAGGCGGTATTTACGTTGTTGATGTCTATGGGATGAGGTAACCACTGGACAGAATGTAAGCAATATTAATAAAAAAAATTGGTTGTCTGTAAAGTCGGTTTACTAACGATAGTTGAACATGACAACGTCATAAGAAAATACTGATGGAATGGTTTCATTTTTCAAAAGAAAATTTTAATTTTATTTGTTTGATAGATATTTTGTATGGACAATAATTGACCCCACATTCACTTTTCACTGAACTTCACACTTGACGAAAACATGTAAATTGTATAGCAGCTGTCCACGCGGATGCATCGCTCACTCAAGTAGGAGAGAGACAGATGTCGAACGCTGCCGAACGCGGAGGCCGATTGTGCCTATTTGTCGCTCGTTGCGCGCTCTCGCTTGCACTTCAAGCTTTAAATGGAACGCCTCAGAGCGAGTTAACGCCGCATGAGTCATGTTTTTTCGTGCGTGCAGCCGGCTCCATAGTATTATAAGACGTTGTCACGTCAAAGATGTTGTTGAAATTTTAAAGTTGCTTAATGGTAGTGGGCCGTATTGGGAATGCGCACGCGGAGATTGTCAATGTTTTGACTATGCCGCCCATGCGTTTTCAAGGCTAAAATGACCCTGTGTGCTACGATCATCATTCGACCTAAAACGGACTGTAAAAAAAGTAACTGAGAAGTGACAGCCCTGACGATAACCTGGAATTAAGATTTCATAAACACACGAGATGTGTATATAGCAGCCTGGATCGGTTAACGCGCTCATCACCACGGCGCGTTCGTCACGCACACCAATCATTACAAAACGCGATCGGACGAGGGCCGGTCATTAAATCCGTTAGTAACACTGTATGTACACTCTCAACTAAACCGTTCGACCATCGGCTTTCGGTACAAAACGCCAATTACAATTTACACAATAATAATTTACGTCGAACGTTATCTTTCCGTGACTCCAGTGATACGGATTTATTGATCGTGTCAAATTATTCTGTGTTGATGAACGTAAATTATTCCTACGAAAATAGTTCTGTTGCCGCGATGATGATGGAATTATTAATTAATGCATCGTCAATTAGAATTTTAATTTGATCGGAAACGTCCCAGATATATTGAACGTCGGTGTTTTGGAGATGCATTAGTATATTAAAGACAAATTCTAAAATGACAATAGATTGAAATTGCTAATAATAGCTAATGGTAATAACGAAATAATAATGTGTAATTGCAAGAGGATGCAATTACTTACTTACTGAATCGTTTATTAGTTAAAAATTCCTTTAAAATAACATTACTTGTAAAACGTATCGGGTTGTGAGCTATGAACAAACTAATGGATAATTACACTAATAAGATCACGAAACAGAAAACAAAGTTTGTATTAACGATTTTCCGATTGCTGACACAAAGACTAGCATAGACGTAATATATCTTTATACATACAATTGAGACGTCGACCTCATGTCAGCGATGACCCTGTGACGCCTATGGGACCCGATAAGCAATTAATCCCGTCACCGTTCTCGTTGTCTTCGTCAATGCGAAGAAAAGTTCGACGTGCAAGCCACATGACACAACCCACTAAGTTTCTCGCCGGATCTTCTCAGCGGGTCACGATTCGATCCGGTAGAAGATTCAGCGAAGCACTGCACCCACTAGGACAGATTGTTGCAAATTCTTGCCTGAGTTCGGTCATCCAGTCGCAGTCCTTAGGCAAAAAAAATCCCATATACACCACGTGGGCTGTCTTTCATCCATCAATGCAAGAACAAAAGCTATAAAGAACTACGGTTGAGGAGTACACTTAACAATGAATAGGCCTTTTTTAATGACTCTGTCACCAGCTCTGCGTTTGATTGAATAAACTTTTTCTGCTTAATTTCACCATAATGACAATAAAATCTTTCATATCTCCACCCGTTGGTGTAGTTAAAGACGCCTGTAAGCGGGCACGGATTGGTACCACTTTTCTGCCTTTTTTTTATTGCCTAGAGGTGTGGACGAGCTCACAGCCCACCTGGTGTTAAGTGGTTACTGGAACCCATAGACATCTACAACGTAAATGCGCCACACACCTTGCCTATTACTACCACAAAACAGCGATGCGTTTCGGTTTGAAAAATGGTACCACCGACAACCAATATAATTGAAGACATTTTTTTTTATTGCTTATATGGGTGGACGAGCTCACAGCCCACCTAGTGGGTTACACACACAGTGGTTATGGAGCTCATAGACATCTACAATGTATATGCGCTACCCACCTTGATATATAAGTTCTAAGGTCTGAGGTCTGAAGTATAGTTACAACGGCTGCCCTACCCTTCAAACCGAAACGCATTACTGCTTCACGGCAGAAATAGGCAGTGTGGTGGTACCTACCCACGCGGCCTCACAAGAGGTCCTACCACCAGTAATAACGCAAATTATAATTTTGCGGGTTTCATTTTTATTACACGATGTTATTCCTTCACTTTGGAAGTCAATCGTGAACATTTGTTGACTACTTAATTCATTAGAAAAATTTGTACCCGCCTGAGATTCGAACACCGGTGCATCGCTCAACACAAATGCACTGGACGTCTTATCCTTTAGGCCACGACGACATTTCTTATCTTAAATGAGGTCCGTTATTTGGAATCATGTCTGTGACCTCTGACCGTAAAGACAAATAGACAGTATTCAACATACTGTTCTCTTCATCTACATAGGCAATAAAAATAGAATTTCCACAGCCAATCCTCAAACATAAAAACCCATAGTGAATAGTTTGAGAACCATAATAATTTAGGTCTCGCAAAACATGTAGGTAGTTTGAGATACATCCAGTTATCTTACTCTGGCAATCAATAATAATTCTTAAATTTAATTACTACAATAAACATAATAAAGAAACGCACTTATCGAAGCTTGGACCGGACGATTTGAACGTCAAGATATTTCATTTACAATTTAAGCACACATCCATTCATTTTGACGTTCGTATAAAACTGACGTCATATTGCGCCGGCCTCTTTGATTACACACAAACTCGTTGCAAAATGCGCATGTAATAAAAAAATAATATTAATATTAAAATGTCTTCGAGAACACGAAAACTATACTGTCATTAGTGACGGAGAAATCCGACGGGAATTCGTAATGAATTTATTTCGAAATGTTATGTTTTAACAGCTATGTGTCCAATTTCATGGTGACGCCGGCGGTGTCTGGGAGGAAATAAAATTCGAGACTGATTATACATTTGATGGCTATCGCGTACGAGGCTGCGCTTTCTTTTCTAACTTGCTTTAATAGACTCTCCAGTCCGACCAGTCTTTTATTGCAAATAAAGCATTTAAAATGTCGCTGGAATTGTAAGAGCCGGGTGAATACTTGTCACAATTTTTTATTTATTTTGTTTCATTGCATAGATGGTTGGACGAGCTCACAGCCCACCTGGTGTTAAGTGGTTACCGGAGCCCATAGACATCTACAACATAAATGCCGCCACTCGCCTTAAAATATCTAAGATCTCAATTTAGTTACAACGGCTGCCCCACCCTTCAAACCGAAACGCATTACTGCCTCACGGCAGAAATACGCAGGGCGGTGGTACCTACCCGTACGGACTTACAAGAGGACCTACCACCAGTAATTACGCAAATTATGATTTTGCAGGTCTTGATTTTATTACACGATGTTATTTCTTCACCGTGAATGTCAATAATTAACAAATGTTAAGTACGTATTTCATTGGAAGAATTGGTACCCGCCTGCAGGATACGAACATCGATGCATCGCAAGATACAAATGTACCGGACGTCTTATCCTTTAGGCCACAACGACTTTTCTACAGATTACTACAGGTCTTAATTATACTACAGGTCTTCATTAGGCATTCAATCGATCCTTCCAGGATAAATTAAATTTATGTATCTATTTGTATAATATGCGTTTACGAGTGTATTCATATTAATAAACCCGGTCACCGTCCTCGTCGAACCCGTCGCTTGGGACGAAGGGCTCGACGAGTGAATTAACCCATAGACGCAGCCCACTGAGTTTCTCGCCGGACCTTCTCAGTGGATCGCGTTTCCGATCCGGTGGTAGATTCTGCGAAGCACTGCTCTTGCTAGGGCCAGTGTTAGCAACACTCCGGTTAGAGCCCCGTGAGCTCACTTACTTATCAAGGAGAAGCTGAAATAGCCTCTCAAAGCTTTCAACATAGGTAGGAAAAAGAAATAATAATAATAATTAATAAACAAATTCACATTTTTTTTTCTCATAAAATTGGGAAACATACAGACATACCGTATTTTAAATTAAAATGTTCGAATAAAATAATATAAATATAGTTGTGGTAGATCGTATTGTTGGTATCTGTATTAGGTTGGTATCACGGCTCTGCCTATTTTTCCAGTAAAACAGCTGAGCTTTCATGTTTTAATGACAGGAAGCTTCCCTGAGGTGGAAACAGTAACTGTACAACCTCTCATCAAAATCAGATGAATGGTCAACGAACGACTAGAGAACAAACATACAAACGTTCATTTTTATGTTTATAGACGAACGCTTACAAGATTAACAATTTTTCTAAGTCTCAAAGCGGTTGACGGAAATAATGTTTGTGAACTTCAGTGATCATTTATCAGCAGGCGGTTCGTGAGCTTCACTCATTTATTCAATTATATGAATAAAAATATATATATATCAATATTTTTCGTTTCAGAACACCGCATAGGGGCGGATGCGGAGCCGCCAGCGTGCGAAGCGCGACTTCTCAACGGCGACCTCTGGAGGAGATTTCATGACATCGGTACCGAAATGATCATCACCAAGGGCGGAAGGTCAGTTGTTCACGTTAATTTAGTAGGAAATGCAATAGATATGTCAATGAACCCCGTATATTCTTTGAATATCATGAATGAATCTCGTCTCCGGGCAAGTTAGCGGTTGTACTGTAAAAACTGAGACTTAATACTCACGTCTCAAGATAAGTGATGGTATTTACGTTATTGATTTCTATGGGCTCCGGTAACCACTGGACCAGGTGGACCGTGAGCTCGTCCACCCACCTAAGCAATAAGAAAGGTCCAATCTACTTCTCCGAACACTTAGACATATGATAGAACCTTGTATTAAAAAGATGTGGTGTAATAACAGTGGTGTAATAACAGCCAGTAGTGGCTAATGTAGAATCGACACAATTTGCAAAAAAAAAATTGTGCTCAATTTTATGTAGGTTTTCTTGATTTTTCTCTTAAATTTTGCAGATTAGTTATTATTTAAGTACAGGAATTATTTTTTATTTAAGTACAGGTATTATTAATTAGTTATTTAGGAAATTCAGTATTTTAGGAAATAATAAATTACGTAAAATAAAAAAAAATCGTAATTCAAATTATCAATTAAAATAACAAAATATGTCTCTTTATTATGGTTTGAAAACATAAAATTACATAGAAATATTTTTTTTTTTTTTTTTTTTTTTAAAAAAAAAAAAAAAAAAAAAAACATAGAAATAGAAATAATTACAAAATAGAGAGAGAAGGGATGAGAGAACGAAAAGAAAGAAGGAGAAAGAGAAAGGTATTATACACTACTCGTTTGTGTATACGACTGTCGGGCCTACGCACGTCTCATTTAACGGTTTTATTCCACGGACTTTTTCTTACGGTTTTACTATTACATTTTTTTCAGTTCGGTCGCGCAACAAAATCCCTCTCGCCTCCAAGCCTGCCGTAAGGAACTTTGTTCCAAAAACAGTTTGGTTAATAAAGTTGCTACGACAAGTCCGACAGACGAAATTACTTGATATAGCTATGCAAGATTATTGACACATCGCGAATAGCTTGAGACATGAGTTTGAACTCTTAATTGTATTCTATAACTACCGTCTAAACTTTCAAACATCACACATGGCTGCTTCGCGGTTGTTATACGCTAGATTGTGAGCCTACCCGTGGGGACATACAGCATACCAACAACCAGTAGACATTATTATCTGTAACTATCGATCCAATTAAACGTGGCAGCTGTTCGAAGCCAAGAATCGAATCTAACAAAAACGAATTACTCGTAATAAATTACGAAATAATAACAAAAACTTAACGAAAACCCATTAGGGCTGCCGAATCTGACGCGGGCCTTGTTAACGGGCGATTTCGGAGTCGGACCCGGACCTCCGTCATAGACAAAACAAACAGCTGCCTCCGAGGCAATTTGTGCATTTCTCTAAATGGCCGAGCACAAATTACAGCTTATTATAAGCTTGTTTGCTTTACGATGGTACCCCTTCAATTATTTTTTTACGTGATCCATAATGTGGGGCGAGCAGTGTAGAAATTACATAGTCGTTGCCATCTCGGCGCCTCCGCCTTCGTTCCCGGCGACCCACCGCGCGATGACTTCCACCATTATCGCTGCTTGACATTAGCACATGACATACTGTTACTAATAGTAATATAAATCAGAATGAATCTACCCACCGCTACTTGAATAATGTAGTCTTTCTAAATTGAATGTCAATTTTGGTCAAATTAATTTCAATAAAAGTGAAATGTTGAAAATCTTGGGGGTCACATGCCCCAATAGGTATTAATGACGACACTACACACACCAAAAAAACTAATACATACTGTTTTTGATTATTAAATTATAAATTATATTAAAATGTTTGGTGATATTAGGTACATCTTCAAATTCAATCTGATTCATAAAGTATGTCACGTCCAATCGTATTCTAATATAATTTAAGTTAAAATTATTTCGTAATCAATGGCGTGTAATTAGTCTTTTGACGACATCGTATCGTTCTGTTGTTAAATTCATTGCAAAAACTGGACCCCTTTCACGAGCTAAACGCTGCACGAGCAGTGTACGAACGCGTTCCGACAGAGCTCCAGTTTTTCTCTGCGAATAATTGGGCCAGTTCATCGGCGCCCCTGTCATCTTCTACACGTTTTTTCCCCACGGTGCAGACCACCACGCGCTCGCTGGACAACGTAACATTCAGATAATTTACCGCTTTATCCATAGTTTGGTGAATCTCCTTAGGTCGGCCCGCGCGCCGTCTAGTTTTACTAGTTTTAGTCTGTTTGTTTTATATTAATGATCCCGCGCGAGAGGCCGGGGGCGCGCCGGCGCCGTTTCTGGCGCCATACAAAATGAAATGGGTCAAAAATATTTCATGCATTTCTTGTATTGAACGCTAGTCGAGGCTGTGCGTGCGCGAGGTAATTGAGTTATTCTGTTGGAGCAACGAGAATACGTTGCACCTATAACTAACTACACAAATTGATGAGTGTAACTCTCTCTGTGCCTTTAGTCGATGCTCTTAGCAGTGTTAAAAGCCGTTCTTAGATGTGTTCTTTCTCTGACTAGAATGAAGCCGGGGTCGAAGATTGAATAGTAAAGGTAAACAGTGGATTTGGGCGGTTCGTTTGTAAGGGCAGGGTCGAGCGGAGAGTTAACACCTGTGCACGGCGGCCATGCGCTTGCATTATATATTAGATTCTGGATTTGTGGTAACAGTGTTTCAAATTTTCCCACCTGTTCGGGTATGTGTGAATCACTTTGTATATAAGAAGCATAAACACGCACATGTGCTCAGTTACGTACCTGTCCTAAACAGGTTCTCTGTTTGCAAAGTGATGTGTATGTATACACTAACAAATTTTTTGAGTGCTCATTGTTTAATTGATGGTAAAAATTCTACCGTGTACACTCCAATAGAACGACATTATTCTAGACTCGAACTATTTCAATTAGTTCATCTAGAATTCCTTTATATTACCTATATTTTAACAATCTTTATGCTGGCTCTCCCTTAATCCGTCGAATGCATCCGCATCAATACGCATTAATAACAAACTGTTACAAAACTCTGACACGTTCCATCTGTTGCAGTCGATGTTTTAAGATAATACTTAACCCTCAATAATCGTCCTACAAACAAACACTGGTCGAAATAGAGTGTGTTATTTATTTTTTCTTAAAACCGAAATATGACAAATGGGCGAGGCCGGGCCGGCGGCGACAGCGCGGCCGCGCATCGCTCGCGTGTCGTCGCGCAGACCTCCCGCCATTTTAAAAACAAACACACAACATAAAACTCGTTATTTATTCTCGTGTTACTCGACAGGAAGGGCGCGACCGAATTCGCTTGAAAAAATCATAAGCAATAATTAAAAAAGATTGGGCTGCGCCGGTCCTTGTGCAGACATAGGGAGGGGGGTGTTCGCGTTGCAGAGCAGATACCTATGTTGAGCGAAGATAAGAATCACACTAATAATTTAGTGTCTGACGATGAGAATTCGACTAATTCCAGGCATTTCTACACTACGAGAAGTGTAATCATGAACAAAATCAGCCGCAACTACGAGCATTAGAAACGAGCGTAAGCCCATTCCGGCGCTTGTTCTAACAGAAATACCGATTAATTGATTCGATCTGTGTAGTAATTAAAATGGGTGATTAGGGTGCGGGGACCGGCGCCGGCGCCTCAAAGCGTCGCCGGCAACATTCCTTTTGTTTTACCACGGGTCGTTTGTCGCCTGGCCGGTGTGTGGATTCCGTCCGTCCCGTGCTGGCTGACGGCGTTTAGTGTAAGTGCGAGCGGGAGGGATGCGGGCGCCGACCTCCTGCGGTGCGCCGGCCGCCCGCCGCGCGCCCCGCCCAGCACACGCAGCACTAATAATCAGATTATGACAGCCGGACGTCTTCCAACAGTTTACCACACTACTAGACCGACTCGTCACTCTTCAATGTGTCCTGGAAACTTGACGTTAAAAATTCTCGATTGATCAGATTCAGTGATATCGTATATCGCGAGATACAGTTCTCAAGTTGAAATCGAATTAAATTTCGCTCTACGTTGTTAGTAATGTAAAGATTCGTTTGCTCAATTTAAGTAATATCGATTTTTAAAGATTTTGTTTTTATCGATTTACTTTAAACCTCTTATCGTTCGTAATTGTCATTTCACAGTACCATGTGAACTCTCTTTAATTGGACAATTTGAAGTTGATGAAAACCGTTTATAAAAATAAAAGGCTATAAATTATATTCTACGTGATAAAAACGTACTGTCATTGATTGTAATGGGTAATATCGGATGGAAGGGTTCGACCTCAGAATTTAAAGCACGCGCCGAGCGGTCGCCTAGACTACTCGCTGATCGTATCATAAAATCTCAAGGGACATTAAGTAAAAGGAAAGAAGCCCAATCATGGAAACATTCCACCGCATTGTTTCCATTTAAAGTCCTTAAACTACCTTGTGCTACACGATTCCTAAAGTGACAATCGATAAATTTGTCACGACGAGAAAGATCCCTCTTAATTTGGTATCTGGTTGAATCGAACGATTAGGTAGGTACCGGAATCGCGGAGTCATCGCTGGCTCCTGAGCATGCTCGTGGCCCGCCTTCGTAAAACGTAAAACAATCGGCGATCGTGGAAAAAACAAACAACACAACTATAATTCCGATTTTGTACAAACAAAAAATATGCGTTCGCTTGTCGTCTGAGATGATTCATTTTTTGCCCCAGAGCCGAGGTCTGTCTGTGAAGTCAGATGATAATTTCTCATTAAGTTAAATTCATTTTTGTCGTACAAAACGTTGTAAATTCCTCGAATAATTTAGGGAAGAAAGTGGCCGGGTTGAAGATGTTTTGTTTTTATGGCGCCAACGAACGGCTCGGGTTAGATCGGTATCTACCGATACATGCGTTTAACCATCGTGTAACCCATGTTAGTCGGAACTCAGGAACCGTTCTCACGCAGTTCGTACTGGCTTTGCTACCCTAAAAATCGTAACGTGAACTGATGATGCATCACATGCTTC